TTCGCGCCATCCGGCCGCTCGGCGACACGCGCCCACCCAGAGCACCTTCGCCTCCGAGGTGTCTCCTCACGATTCACGCTGACGATGAAAGCGGCAGGAAATGATGCAAATAACCCCCTGACCCAGCTTCCCCAGCTGTCGGCCTTCCACATTCCGCTGTGCTCTCCTTTATTCACACACAGTACTTTATGAGCCGTTTCGGGGCGAGCGGCGGACACCGTGCCCCTGGACCCCAAACACTTCGGTGTGTGAATTTCCTAAAACTGGGACATGCCCTTGACAGAGCCACCGTGCCACAGGGCTCCGACATCACGTTCGGGTCTAAACGACCATCCGAGACCTCGCCAGATCTCGTCATCGTAATGTCCCTTAGAGCGGAGAAAGCCTGGCGAGGATTAGTGACACAAGGCACGTGTCACCCCCAGTAAGCGGCTGGTGCAGCCTGATCAGGACGCAGGTCTGTCTGTTCCAGACCCCAAGTTCCCTCTGTGACCATCTGAGACCTCGCCAGATCTCGTCATCGTAACGTCCCTTAGAGCGGAGAGAGCCTGGGCCACGCTGTTGTCACGGCTCCTGGGCCTTTAAGCTGGAGGTTGACCCCTTGGAGAATACAGGCCAGTTTCTCTGTGGGACGCCCCTCGGCGTGGGCACGGCAGTGATTCTTCGCCTTCACGGCCAGGTATGGGGGGCAGCAGCACCCCCAGAATCGCCGTGTCCCCCTCCGCACAGCAGGGCTGGAGGCTGCGATGGTGATTTGTCTCGATACTGGTGATGGTCGTCTCTGAATTGGAGGATGGAGCTTTAAGCCAAGATCTGGGTGCCATATGCTTCTCTGGGACTTGACAGGGGCCTGAGTCCCTGCTGCATGGCGGGTCCTGGGGACACAGAGCAAGCAAGGCCTGGACGTGGGCTCTGGCCTCCCAGGCACTGAGATGGCGTGGGGCTGGTGTGCTCTGGGCGGTCAGCAGATGCCAAGGGGGAGAGGGCAGAAAGCAGCACCAGAGCGCTGCCCGGTCTGAGGCTGGTGTGGCGGCGCTGTGCCCAGGCCTCAGCAGGACGTCCGGAGGTGGCGGGGTGACCGGCCGCACTCCAGCTCACTCTCTGCCGCAGCCACAGGCTTTTCCCCATCAGATTCCCCTCGACCCTAAGGCCTCGGTTGCTCGTCCCGTTTTACAGATGAGCAGACTGGGCAGGGCAGAGACGAGGCGCCCGGCCAAGATGCAGACTGGGAGCTGGATGGAGGAGCGGGGGGTGACAGCAGAGGACTGAGTGCCACTCGGCGCTCCAGAGCCCGTCCTCGGCTCTGGTCCCTGTGTGAGCCCCTCCTCTGACCCCAAACTTCAGGGTATGTCACTAATCCTCGCCAGGCTGCGAGCCGCACCCCTCCAGCCTCACAAGGCACGTGTCACCCCCAGTAAGCGGCTGATGCAGCCTGATCAGGATGCAGGTCTGTCTGTTCCAGACCCCAAGTTCCCTCTGAGCCGTCACCTCCTCTCTGTGGTCTGCAAAATAATGGCCTTCAAAGAAGTCCACGTCCTCATCCCAGAACCTGTGCATCCATACATGACTTCCTGTGGCCAAAGAGACTTCGCAGATGGGATTAAGTGATGGATTCTGAGCTGAGATTATCCTGGGGTTGGAGTTTGAGAGAAAGCGAAGGTTCTGGGCTTCTGGCTTTGAAGACGGAGGAAGGGGCCGCGAGCCAAGGCGTGCGGGCACCTCTAGAAGCTGGAAAAGGCAGGGAACGCATTCTCCCCGGGAGCCTCAGAAGGAACCGGCCCTGCCGACACCTTGCCTTTGGCCGGCGAGACGCCTTTCAGACTCCGGAAGAGCCGTGTGGCACGTTCGTGCTTTCTGCAGACACCACCAAGCCTGGGGGCGTTTGCTGCAGCACAGAAGGACGCGCACACGCCGTCCGTCCTCGCCGGGCTTCATGGCGCTGGAGGAAGGGAGGCCGTGTGCGGGGTGGCTTGTAGGGGTGTGGACACATGGCTGTTGTTCCAGACAGAGCTGGGGTGCCAGCACCTCGTAGCTGCGAGCTGCCTGTTCTCGCCGTAATCACAGACCTGCTCTGTTACAGATGGTGCTCTCACCCCTGGCGTCCCCCGGCGGGCCTCGGGGACCCTTCCCGGCCAGATGGGAGCGTACCCCACAGGTAGACATCCTCTGGACTGGGGGCATGGTGCGGGACCCCTGGGCATCGCCTCTTCCCTCCGTGGGGTGGGAGGGGACTTGTTAAATGCAGGTGCCCAGGTCCTGTGCCCAGTCTGATCCCGCCTGCCTGGGGCAGGGCCCAGGACTCTGCGTCTCCACAGGGGGTGGGGTGCGTTCACCCTGGGTTCACCCGCGTTTGCCGAGGGCCTCCCCGGACTTTACGTTTGCTTCCACTCGAAGAGGGGGACATGCCCAAAGGCCACACGCAGGGGAAGTGATACTCTGGGGTGGGGTCACAGGTGGGACATGGTAAGAACTAGACTAAAGAGCTGGTTCTGGGGCGAGTTGAGGCTTCTGTGGGGTGCATGCTGGAGGTTGGATGCCCCTGTCTGGAGCTGGGGTCGTGGGAGAGGTCGGGGCTGGAGGTCTGGGGGGCCCGGGCCCC